CTGGCTGTGGCCCCAAAGCCAGCACCAAACAATTTCTAAATTGCTTTTCTGACCAAGTCCAATGTGAGTAAGTTTTTCTGTCCCTGTGATGCGTGACGCAAAATCAACAGGTCAAAGAGACATTCCTGTAGGTTTCCCCCAGAACACTCCCCTTCAGACACTACTCTTGAAAGCCCACTCAAAACTTAGTTTCATCTGATAGAAGTTATCAAGAGGTGGAAGATCTTTTTTTTTTTAAACATCCCAGAGAAAACAGACATGGCATTTTTTCCCTTTCGTAGGAGGAATTCTGTGGGTTAGTCTGGCCTCAGGAATAGTATTCCAAACTAAGTTTTTCATGTTACAGAGCACGTGTTTTGGATTTCGTGGTGGTTTTGTTTTTTGGGTTTTTGTTTATTTTAGGGGGGTCACACCTGGCAATGCACTGGCAGTGCTCAGGGGGGTCTTATGGGATGCTGGGGATCGAATCCAGGTCAACCGCATGCTGGGCAAATGCCCTCCCCACTGGATATTGCTTCAGTCCCATGTTTTTGTTTTTATTTTTTTTATAAAGCCGTATACCCAAGTTAACATTTCAAAAACAGGAATGGATTCTTAGAAATGGAATGATGGCGGGTCTGTGAACGCCACAGTAACCAAATGCCCCCGTCCCTTAGATTTAAAAATATGTGCTTTTCCTGTTGGTCGTGGGGAAAGGAGGATGACTCTGATTCCTAGAACCATTGAAGAACCATTGAAAGGACCCAGTCTCGGTTCCTTGAGAAATGGACAGTCCCATGAGGAGAAGTTTCACCCAAACTCTGCCATTTCAACTCAAAGAGTCAAGGCAGCCTGGACTGCTCAGATGCCAGGTACCAGGAAAGGAAACAACAACCCCAAACTCTTTCTCCCCTCTCAGTGCTCAGACCATTCTACCCATCAATCACACTGAGTCTGTGGCAAAAAACTAGAAAATACATGAACATAAAGCCGTGCCCTGGCCTGGCCCACTGGAAGGGAGCAAGAGTCTGGCTTGTGATGCCATCCAGGTCCCTCTCATGACTGGTCAGAGGAAACTCCATGAGTCAAGGGGAAGAAAACAGAAGAGTTTGTGAAGAAAAAAGAAGAGTTCCCACCGGGATGAAAAACCTAACCCGCTAGCTGTGTTCATCGAGAACACAGAAAACGGAAATGGTTATAGATTTGGGAAAAACTGGGTTCACATCCAGAGTACCCTATGTGACTTTTGTCATTATCATCTTTTCTGATTCTTACAAAGTAAACCTAATTATGAACCTCCCTCATTAGTCTTCCAGAAAAATTAGCACAGCTTATGCTAATTGCTACTGCAAAATTTAATAAACGTGTTGAAATGGGAATAGTCTAATGAGGTTTTATTTATTGAACTAAGATAACTCCAAGGAAAAAGGTTAGGACACAGGGCTAGCCAACGTGGTAATAAAACTACAATTTATTCAATTTCTAAACATGAATTTTATTGCGAACCTCTTCAATTCAAATATGAGTTACTGTGTGAATATGTTAAATCAATCTCCACCCTAATTCAATAATTGCGAGTCTTTTTTTTTTTTTGCTTTTGACTGGAACAATCATCACCACATAGAACCCTCTACCTCGACGATAATGAAATCCGCGCTGATTAGTTCCTGTTCATCAACTATTAAACATAACATAGATGAGTCCTCCCAGGTCCACACCGTCCAAATATCTGGATCATCAGCCACAGGCTGTGTTTCATCAATCTCCATCAAACAATTTGGCAACGGACAGGAATACGGTCTGGCAGTTAATGCCAGATGCCCACTTTCTACCCAACAGGAATTTTCTGCAAACTATTTTTTTCCCTTTTGGGTCACAACCGGCGGTGCTCAGGGGTTACTCCTGTCTCTGCACTCAGGAATTACTCCTGGCGGTGCTCGGGGGCCCCTGTGGGATGCTAGGAATCGAACCCAGGTCGGCCGCATGCAAGACAAACGCCCTCCCCGCTGTGCTATCGCTCCAGCACCTCTGCAAACTTTTTTGAAGTGGATTGATAAACAGTCTCAAGTGGGAAAAGAGTTGGGGTGGGGTTGGGGGGGTCACCATTTCCTACTTAGTCATATACGAAGAAAAGAAAGTCGTATACAAAGAATTGGAAACCCATTTCCCAATGACGGCGGCGGTGGGCAGCTGCTGGTTTTGCTAATCCCACTTTTGGGGGGAACGGGCCTGCCCCACCAACATCGCTGAGCCCCCCAGCAGTCAACAACACAACACGGGCAGATTTAACCCAGAACGAACTTGGCGGGTGCTGTTACCGTCTGCCCAGAAAGTCTCTCCTACCTCGCCTATAAATAGTTTTCCTGAATAACCACTGCTAAAAGTCCTCTGACTGATAAAAATAGCAGTGTTCTTCCCAAACCCGAAGGACAAGTGGAGGTAGGTGCCTCAAAGGTGGCTGTGTGGAATGTTAACCAGAGTGGCCTTACACACAGCTCTGTGACTGCACGGTGTTTGCATCTTGTAAAAACAGTCACTGCTGCGGCTCAGTGCAGGCCCCATAACCTATTTTTACAAAATATGCAGCGATCCGCAGCCGTAAATCTGAAAGCAAATCAAACGCAAAGCACGTAACGCAGATATTATGCAATAGGTAATATAGGATCAAATTGGAAACTGAAATTCAAATACGGTTGCTTTTTTTTCTCTCCTTCGCAGCCATTCTATGGGATTGAAAAATCTTTTCTATTTTGCCGTTCCTTGTGTAAGTTCTTTTCTTGTTGTTATTCTCTTCTCTTCATTGTGCCAATGGAAGTTTCACATATCAGCACAGAGAGGACAGAGGGGCTTTTAAAACCTTCAGCAGACTTGAAGGACAATTAAATTCTGAAAACTCCCATGCAAATAGAAAGTGCTAAATGGAATTTTGCATATCATCTGGTCTTGCTGCTGGAGGAGACAGTTCGCAGGAAAAGAGCGGCACGCCGGAGTGAATCAATATGTTGGGATTGCAGCCGCTCTTAAAGCAAGCCTCCTGACACACCCAGATCAGCGACATGGGATTTTCTCCCCACCCACCCGAGGAGGGGAGGAAAATGAAAAGGGAAAGTGTCCTGGGTAATAGCTCAAAAGCCACCAACAGTCTAAAGTGCATACTTATTTTGCCTAAACTGTTTGAACTCCCCCCCTGCCCAAAGAAGGTTTTAAGTACCCTACTGGAACAGATGCAAGGCGGCCCCGAGCAGCCACACTAATGCAGCCCAGGTAACACAATCCTGTTTCAAACGCACGGTCCGGCTAATTACAGCGCTGCTGAGTCAAGTTTCTTAGGCCATTGCAACCCACAGGAGCAGGTCAAAATCAAATGTTATTCAAACCACAGTCGTATCACCCTTCTGTATCAGAGGCCCAGCTTCAAACCCGACCAAGAACTTAAAAGCTTAACCCATTCACAAGCAAAAAAGAAAAAAGGGAAAAAAAATGTGTTTGTGTGACTGGTGGCAAGAAGAGAGAAGGTTCATCATCTAAGCCTAAAGGCATGGCAGTGGCGGGGGGGGGGGGGGGGGGGGGGAGGGTAGGGGGCCCAAAACAAAATGCTTTGAGAGTTTCAAAGCTTGGGGGAGATGTGTTATGGGCTGATCTTTTTGCTCAGAACCCTCTTTAAAAGAAGAGTAGGGAAAACTCACATTTAAGAAAAAAAATAAAAAGGATCAATGGCATTTTGAAGAGGCACATTTAAATGAAACAAACAGTGTTGGACCCTCGTTTACTTTTGAGCTTCTTCATTTCAAAATTTGTTAAATTTTTTTTGTTAATTTTTTGTTAAAACTTGATAAACCTACTTGGCCACCGGAATTCCACGGATCAAATCAAGAATCAAAACTTTCCCATAAATTATGAGGACACAAATACCTTTTCACTCGACTGAAAAATAAGGCCTCTCCCCACCAACATACACCTCCCAACATCTCACCCATTCACACACACACATACACAAACACACACACACACAAAGGTAAAGTGTGTGTGTGTGTTAAAAAAAATAGGGTTAAGTTGGTTGTTTTGTTTTGGGGGTAAGGGTGGTCTTTGTATGTGACTCCAAAAATCAATGTTACCAAGCTCTCTCAACAAGGGTGTTAAATTTCTCAATGAAAGATAAGTTCGTCCATCTTATTTGCAAGATTCTTTCCCCGCTAGTTCATTTCCTAGTTGACAACTGACAGTATCTATAAACCTTCCAGGCCATTTAACTCTCAATGAGTAATGCTACATAACAAATGGTTTATCATACATGTTTCCATACAATGAATTTCAATAATTAAAATGTAAAATGAATATTTGGAATGCAACTTTGCATAATATGCACACACACTGACTTGAAATTACACTGAACAACTAAAACAGATTTATTGTTCTACCGTGATTTACTTGGTCATGTCAGATTAGTAATATGGATCTGTTTAAAAACACAATAATTAAGACAAGCAGGATAAATTAATCAACTTACAATATGGTACGAGCTACTCTCAAACCCGGGAAATCACAGCAGAAAATTCTGGTTCGCAGATCTCTTTAAGGCTGCTTTTATGCATAAATAAAACCTTAAAATGTAGATGGATTACGTCCAACAGAACTACTGTAGCTAAAAGTGATAATGATTCAAACATTTTTCAAATAAAAGTTAAATATTTATAAGCACCCAACCACATTTCATAAATCACAAACCATTATTATTTTATTTCTGAAGCTTCCTGGCACAGCGTGAGGACGAAGCCACAGAAAGTCAGGAAAAGAAAAAAAATAAATAAATAAATAACTATTCCTTTAAGGAGCATGAATCAGACACAAAAACCGAAGCAATCCAAGAAAACAGGCCTCCAAAGAACATTCCATGTGGCTTTCCCAGGCTCATCCTGGCGGGCCGCATTCCCGCCTGCAGCCCCCGCGACCGTGAGCGACACGAGGCAGGTGTTTCGTTATAATGAGGAACCCGAGTCCAGTGAAAGTCGAGTGGTCCCTACCTGTCAATTATCACTGGATCTGAGGGAGTCTCATTTCGGTTGCCACAGCTTTTCTTGTCACAACAGCGGCTGTGGGGCAGAAAGGAAAAAAAAAAAACACGAAAAGGATTTAGTACAACCATTACAATGCAAAATCATCGTTTGGGCTGAGGGGAGGTTCAGATTGCTGGGCGGGAGGGGGGCGGGGGTACGAATGCTAGAATTACCACCGAGCCATACCTGGCAATCAACGGATCCCTGCCACGGAAAATTCTATTGGGGTCACCTATGGGTTAATGGCCAGGCTTAACCTCTCTCTACACACGGCAGGCAGGGTGGGTGGGTGGGTGGGGGTGCGGTGTGGGGCGGGGGTGTCCCGGAACCCACCGGCAGCTCAGCGTGGCCACCAGCCTTGGGACTGGGCGAGCCCCGAAGGGAGGTGCGCGATGAGGAGGAGAAGGTTCTGGGTGGTGGGTGGCTCCACCGTTCTTCCCTCGCGAGCACAAGAACTGTGAGCCTCAGCGCGTCGCGTGGGGAACAAGCCCGCAGTATTTTCTGCCCCCCTCCACAGCCCTCTTCCTCCACTTTCTCTTGATGGCAGCTGTTTTCTCCAACCACAGACTTTTCCCCAGCCTCGGGGCTGGGACTTTTTGCTTCTGAACCACGAGTAGGGGATAGAGAGAGTAAGAGGTATGAGGGAGAGGGAGACACCCTCCCCCCGCCTCACACACACACACATAACCTGCACTTGGCCACGCGTGGGTGCTCCTGAGAGTTACAGACCCAGCACCCGCAGCCTGCAGGGGTCTTAGCACAGAGAGGAAGCAGCCCCGGGCAAGGAAGGCACCCGTCAGCGATTCCCACCCAGCCGTGACCTTCGGGGCGGCTGGCGTTCTCTATCTACCTAAGCCGCCAAGGCCTCTCGAGAGGGAAAACGGACTGAGTCTTGAAAATGACCCTGGGGGCAACAGAAAACTGGGCATCTGAGAGTGACATGCACGTAGGAAGTGGGTCCACTGGTCTGTCTACACCCAGGCACGCCTTATCTGACAAGTCAAGGAGGCAGGGAAGCTATAGTCTACCATGTATTGCTAATATGCCCTTTTTCCTATACATGCTCTCCCTCCCTCCTCTCTCTCTCTCTCTCTCTCTCTCTCTCTCTCTCTCTCTCACACACACACACACACACACACACACACATCACACACAGCCTAAATTTAGAGCTTCTAGAGAGAACCAAACACCCAGCTTCATTTTCAGGACCCAGAATATTTCTCTGCAGAGGGAGACTTTCGCCAAAGTTGGGAATCCTCTTTCTGGCGTGTCACTGTCTTTGAGAAGTGAGTTCCCAAGGTTTCCCTGCTGATTCAGTCCATCCCTCTCCCATCCTCAGAAAGTCACGGATAAAACTCCTCTCCCAAGTCAAAAATCCCAACTAAATGCCCCTGCCCCTACCCTCCCCCCTCGGCCTGGCAGCCCGCCTTCCTGAGGCAGCGGAAACAGTTTCCCTCTGGACCAGAGGTCTGCCCGGACCCAGTATGGGAGAGAAAGCCTCCAGTATCCCGATATCTAATAGGCACACGGAAGAACAAGGGGATGAGAAGTGGTTGGAAGTCACATCAGAAAATTATTTAAAAACTCAACTGTCATCCTCAACTCTGCTGACCCCTGACCCTCAGATCCTATGGCCTCAGCCAAGAGTGGAATAGTGGGACCAGAGCAGTAACACAGCCTTGCACGAGTTTGATCCCCAGCTTCCCATAAGGTCCCTCAAGCCCTGCCAGGAGCAACTCCTAGGGCAGAGCTAGGAGTAACCCCTGAGCATCGCTGGGTGTGGCCCAAGAACCAAATAATCAAGCCAAAAAGAGAGTGGGGTGGTGAGGAGCACCGGTTCTAGACACAGAATTGCCACCTGTGTCTGGAGGGATGGGTATTTGATCATTGTATAATTGAAACCCAAGCACAAAAATTTGTAAGTCTACAACTGTACCTCATGATGTCTCACTAATAAAAATTAAAAAAAAAATACAAATTGGTCAAATAAAAAAAAAAAAGAATTGCCACCCATGTCTAGAAGGTCACCTCCACCAAGCACGCCACCTCCTGATCTTCGTGGCTGCCCTTGGAAACAAAACAGCTGCCCTCCTTTGCTTTATGCAAGTTCCGTTTGGTACCACTTCACCTTTACAGAAGACCTGCCCGGGTACCTATGTTCACTAACTGAAAGGAATCGGAAAGGAATTCTTTTGCTGCTTCTCTGGCCCAAGTCGAACGAGGAAAGTTGCATCCAGTGAGCGAGGGAGACAGAGAGAGCAGGGGCCCAAAGAGAGGGGCAGCTGCAGGTTCCTCCCTGGGAACTGGCGTGTGCGTGAGTGTGCACACAGTCCTTGGGGCTGTCATCTCTCTGGCCTTTGGGGAATCACTTTGTACTGGCTGTCTGATGCCCCGTCCCTGCTTGGGCTGCATCTGTTGCAATTGTTTTGGCTTCTGAGTTATTGGGCATCCTTTCGGGGGAGGGGGGACAGACCTCAAAAACGTTCTCTAAGACAACCCCGAGTGCCTGCAGAAGGTGCAGTATCTGATGCCCCCAAGGACCACTTCCGGCCGTTAAAAAAAAAGAAGTGGAGCCTTCCCACTTCCGACAACATGGACAGACCTGGGATTCCACTGAGTGAAGTACGTTGGAAAGATAAAACCCTGTACAAGTCACCTCCCGTGTGAAGTGTTGGAAAAACACAGAAACCACCAAACACTTAGAAGCCGACCCGAGACGGTTCCGGATGCTCAGGGGTTCCTACTGGCTCTGCATGCAGGAGTCCCTCCCGGCAGGGCTAGGGGGAACCTCTGGGATGCCGGGGATCGAACCCAGGAACCCTTCAGCAGGCAGAGTGCTGGGGGTGGGGGAGGGTGACAGCAAAGGGAAACCACAGCCCTGCCTGACAGGGGGCAGGGGGCGGTGTGTACTCCTGCCACGTTGAAAGCTGCCCTCTCAGACCCTGGCACTGGGACGCAGCAGCCCCTCAATCAGAAACAGGGTCCCAGTACCTACAGGCAACAGAACTGAGAATTGGTCTTTTTTTTTTTATTTCTTTTTGGGTCACACCCAGCAATGCTCAGGGGTTCCTCCTGGCTGTGCACTCAGGAATTACTCCTGGCGGTGCTCAGGGGACCCTATGGGATGCTGGGAATCGAACCCGGGTCAGTCGCGTGCAAGGCGAATGCCCTACCCGCTATACTATCGCTCCAGCCCCATCATCATCATCATCATCATCATCATCATCATCATCATCATCATTTTGGTTTTGGGGTCACACTTAGCAATGGCGTTCCTCCTGGCTGTGCACTCAGGAATTACTTACTCCTGGTGGTGCTCGGGGGACCCTATGGGATGCTGGGGATCAAACCTGGGTTGGCCACATGCAAGGCAAATGCCTTCCCTGCTGGATTGTCACTCCAGCTCTCTCTCTCTCTCTCTCTCTCTCTCTCTCTCTCTCACACACACACACACACACACACACACACACACACACACACATACACTTGAGCAAACATTATTTATTTGGTCTTTTTGGGTCACACCCGATGATGTTCAGGAGTTCCTCCTGGCTCTGCACTCAGGAATCTCTCCTGGCGGTGCTCGGGGGACCCTATGGGATGCTGGGGATCGAACCCGGGTCGGCCACATGCCAGGCAAACACCCTCCCCATTGTACTATCACTCCAGCCCCTGAGAAGGGACACGGGAATGTTTGCAACCTTGAGCCCTGCCACTGTCTCCGCGGGAAATCACAGTGCCCGGCATCATTTAGGAGGAAAGTGCTTCTGTCTAAATGGCAGCGCAAACCCAGGGCAGCAGCTGAGGTGGGGAGGGCGCCATCTCCCCCTTCTCCCCTTCTTCCCTTCCTCTTCAAATGAGCATGAAGGCAGTGCAAGGTCCAGGTAGTTCAGCTGGACTGTGACCCACACCCCCCCCTACACACACACACACACACACACACAGTGGCACTTTCCAAGTGGCAGGAAGATGACTGGGGACTAGTGTCTTCTGCTCACACCATCTGAGTCTCCTATCCCCTATGGCCCACTGTCCCCTGCCCTGCCATGCCCTGCCCTGCCCCCACCCCCTGGACTTCTCCAGTGATGGGGCACCTGGTCTGCGGTCTCCATACCTGTCTCCCTTCAACAAACAGTCAGAGCCATCTTTCCGGGCCCCCAGGTGGCTCTGAAGTGAGACACCCCCAATGCCAGACTCAGTCTCTCCACCTGGGCTGTGGCCCCTTCTCATGTTTGACCCCCCCACCCCCACCATCCCCCCCACCAGACTCCGCCTCCTCCCTCCTCCCCCCATTCAGCCTCCCTGCGCCTTCCCTAGAAAGAGAGGTCCTCACAGCTTTGCTTTCTCCTCTTGGGACACTCAGCAACCCGCGTGGCACCGCAACCTGTGTTTTTCCCGCATGGCACCGTGACCTGTGTTTTTCCCGCATGCACTGCAACCTGTGTTTTTTCACACTGTCTTTCTCCTCCCACCCAACCCCTGCAGCCCAGATGCTTCACGGAGGATGGAAGTGTGGCAGGAGGGAGGCCTGGGATGGTGACGGCTGGTGGTCGGCTGAATACTGACTGAGGGCTGGGGGTCGCTCAGGGTGTGGGACACGTGTTTCAAATACTGAAGGCCAGGGTTTGATCCCAAGTGGGGTGGAGGTCCCCCAAGCTCAGTCAGAAGTGACGGCAAGGAACCAACCTAGAGTAACCCTGGGTATGACCCCAAACAAAGATTGACAGACATCCAGAATGAACGTGCTACAATGGAGTACTATGTAGCTGTTAGAAAAGATGAAGTCATGAAATTTACATACAAGTGGTACTACATGGAAAGTATCATGTTAAGTGAAATGAGTCAGAAAGAGAGGGACAGACATAGAAATATTGCATTCATCTGGGGAACATAAAGTAACAAAATAGGAGACTAACACCCAAGAATGGCCAAGATTAGTACCAGGAGGTTTGCTCCATGGCTTGGAGGCCAGCCACACATGCTAGGGGAAAAGGGAGCTCAGATAGAGAAGGGAGCACCAAATAAAGGTGCTGGGA